GTGTTCGAGCTGCAGTGCCAGGCCCTGCGGAAGGACTCCAAGATGTACAAGGACCGCATCGAGGCCATCCTGCAGCAGCTGGAGGAGGTGGCCATCGAGCGGGACCAGGTAGGGGCACCGCGGAGGGCGGGCCACCGGACAATAGCTCGGCCGGTGGGGGGGGGGGGGGGGGGGGGGAGGGGCGGGGGTGGTCGTTGTCAGAGTAGTTTTTATTTATTCACTTCTGTATTGTTAAAATTATCTTTAAAAAACATTTTTATTGATTTCAGAGAGGAAGGGAGAGGGAGAAGGAGATAAAAAAATTGATGAGAGATGAGAGAGACACATGGATCAGCTGCCTCCTGCCTACTGGGGAGTGAGCCCGGAACCCGGGCTTGCGGTACCCTGACCGGGAATCAAACCTGGGACCTCTTGATCCCTGGGACAATCGATGCTCAGTCCACTGAGCCACACCAGCCAGGCTCCAAGTGGCTTTTAAAGGACAAGAGCACATGTGAACGCCATGAAGGTAGTGCCGCCGGCCACCGCGCCCAGCGGCTGCAGGAGGTCCACCTCGCACTGGGCTCCCCAGACTTTGTCGACATACATACAGCTTCGTTTTTTATTTTACAAAATTGGAAGCATCTGTCTTGTTTTGCAAGTAACTGTTAACCCCAAACACCACGGGCACCTTGGTTGGCTGCCGCCTTGTGGCCGGGAGGCAGCGCCCGCCTCCTGGGCGGTCCCCGCAGACAACCTGCCCTCCGTGGTCGTGGGCTGCGGCCGAGCCGGACGTGGTCTGGCTGTGGCGCATTTGTCCCCTCAGCCTCACGCTCAGCCTTCCGTGGCGGGGGGTGGGGGGGTGGGGGGGGCACGGCACAGTGTGACACATTCGTTTTAAAGAATATTATCGGCTGTTCACAATCGCTGTTGTTAAATATATTTTTATTGATTTTAGAGAGGAAGGGAGAGAGGGAGAGAGAGAGAAACATCAATGACAAGAGAGAATCATTGATTGGCTGCCTCCTGCACACCGCACACTGGGGATCAAGCCCACACCCCGGGCATGTGCCCTGACCGGGAATCGAACCCAGGACCCTTTGGCCGACACTCTATCCACCGAGCCAAACCGGCTAGGGCTACACCTTCATGGTGTTGATGGTGGCCACGGCCCAGACGCATGAACCCGCGTGTGGGGACCAAGTGCAGGCTGCCCAGCATGCCGGCCGGCCGGGCTGGTGCAGAGGTTTTTAATGTCCTTTCTTCTCTGAACGGCCCACGCTTCCCGTCACGAGCCTTCATTGCGTTGACGATCCCTGACACTGCGCTGCTGGACGGGGCAGAGGAGGCCTGGGCCCGGGCTGGACGTGGGCGGCCGTGCCAGGGGCGGCAGTCCGGGTCCCCACGCAGGGTCTCCCCGCAGGCCATCGCGTCCCGGGAGCAGCTGCACACGCAGTACGCCCGCAGCCTGCAGGACAAGGACGCGCTGCGCAAGCAGGCCCGGGAGCTGGGCGAGAAGGCGGACGAGCTGCAGCTGCAGCTGTTCCAGCGCGAGGGCCAGCTGCTGGCCGCCGAGGGCAGGCTCAAGCGGCAGCAGCTGGAGATGCTGGTCCTGGTGCGCCTCCTGGGGTCCCTGCTGCCGCGGGACACGGGGGGGGGGGGGGGGGGGCTCCTGGAGAGGCTACTGCCACGGGACACAGGCCGCCTCTGGGGGCGCTGTTGCTGCAGAACACGGGGAGGGGGGCTCTAGGGGAGCCCTGCAGTGGTGGGACACAGGGGGCCTCTCGGGGGCCCTGCTGTGGCGGATAGGGGGGTGGCCCCTGGTGCAGGCATGTCCCCAGGGACCCCAGAGCCCGGGAGAGCCGCTGGAGAGCCTCAGTCCTGGCCCGGCCCGGCCACTGCCCCCTGGTGGCCCTGGCAGGTCCCAGGCCCTCCTCAGCCCCCTGGCAGGTGGCTCTGGGTGCGGTGAGGGGCAGAGGGGGACCTCCCTGGAGAACTGGCCTGGGACCCCTCCCAGCCCCACCCCAGCCCATTCCCGAGGCGGCTCAGCTTCCCTGCAGCCTGCTGACCGGCCCTCTTCTGTGACCACAGAGCTCTGACCTGGAGGACAGCTCACCCAGGAGCTCCCAGGAGGTGAGTGCGCCTGCCGGGCGGGCTCCCGGCCACAGCCCCCGCTGGACCGCGGCCCCACGCGCGTCCCTGGGAAGTCCAGGAGCTCGGCCGCCTGCCAGCGGCCCTGGTGAGCTGGGCCGGCCCCTCTCCTCCCGACCCGCCGGGCAGAGGACGGGCAGCTGGTGCCCCCGGGCCTCTGTGTGCTCAGGGCAGGACGGACCCGGCAGCCCCACCCCATGCCCTCGTGGGGGCCTTCCCGCTGGGCCCTGGCCCGGCTGGGCCGCGGAGACCCCCCCGAGAGGCTGGTGCAGAGGGGGACAGCGAGGGGACAGCAGCCCAGGGGGTGGGGTGCGTCCACGGGGCAGTGTCCTGACCGGCTGCCCGTCTCTCTCTGGAAGCTCTCCATCCCCCGGGACCTGGAGGAGGACGCCCGGCTCTCGGACAAAGGTGAGGAGGGCGGGGCTGCCACCCAGTCCTGACCCTCGGCCCACGCAGCCCTGCTGGCTGGTGCCTGGGGATGTGTCCTCCAGCCCTGTCCTGTGCACTTCACACTTGGGGACACTGAGGCTGGGAGGGAGAAGTGACCCCCAGAGCCCCCCAACGAGCCAGGGAGAGCCGCATTCGAATCCGGGGCCAGGTCTGCCGGCTGTGTCCAGCTCCAGCTCCAGCCCCAGGCCTGAGCAGGGAGCAGGGGAGGGGCAGCCAGCTGGCACCCAGGTGTGCCACACCAAGAAGGGGGACAGGAGGGGACAGAGGGGCTGTCGGAGGTGGGGGGAGCTGGGGGCTTCGGGTAACGGGCCGCACCCTCTGCCTCCTGAAGACAGGACTGCACGGGCGGCCAGGAGGTGGCCCGCAGGTGACATGGGGCAGGGGCTGGCTCGGAAGGTGGGATCTGAGTTCGGGAGGAGCCGGTGCTGGGCCAGGGCTTGGGGGGGAGGGGTTAGGGGGCACCGCAGAGGCTGTGTGGGAAGCCAGACAAGACTTCCTCAGCATCAGGCCCGACCCAGCTCCCAAAGGGGCAAAAGCGGAAGAAGGGGCACCAAATAGAGAAGTGAGGGTTGGGTGGTCTGAGCTTGGGGCCACGGGCCTGAAGGTGGCGAGCCCAGCCAGCCCGGAGCCCTGGCCCAGGGGGGCGGCCACTCGCTGGAGCCGGCGCTGCAGTCAGAGGCTCAGGGGAGGTGTCGGCTGCAGGCAGAGACCTGGGCTCCCTATGGAGTCTATGCGACTTGAGCCCGGAGTCCCCCCTCATGGCCAGTTTAGGGGAGCCAGCCCCTCAGGGCACCTGCCACCCCAGAGTCCTGAGCCCTGGGCCGACTAGGCCCTGGCCCATTCAGAGGGGGCCCAGCAGCCTGGAACCTTCTGCCCCCACAGAGGAGGGTAGGGCCATGCTGGTGGGAGGAGCAGAGGTTGAGGTGGGAGCACCCCGGGGCCCTGTCTGTACATGGGGATCCTTGTGGGGTCCCAGCAGACAGCGCCGGGCTGGGCAGGCAACACCAGGGGTGAGGAAGGGGTGCGGCCAGCACGCTGGGTACTGGCAGGGGGACGAGGGGTGCGGCCGGCACGCTAGGTGCTGGCAGGGGGGCGAGGAGGGGTGCGGCCGGCACGCTGGGTCCTGGCAGGGGGGCGGCACCCACAGGCACCACTCTCCTCTGCAGGCGGCCCCGCTGACCGGGAGAGCCCAGAGCAGTCCTTGGAGGCTCTGCAGAGGGAGCGGCCCTTACTGACCCCCAATGTAAGGCTGACCTGGGGTGGCCCTGCGCTGGGGAGAGGATTCCTCCCCCGGGATGCCTGGGGGCGGGTATGGGGGAGCAAAGGGTCTCTGCCCACGGCTTTTGGGGTGCAGTCTTTGGAACCTGAAGCTGAGCCCCTCCCTTGCACAAAGCAGTGGGCAGAAGGGTGGCCAGGCCAGGGCTGTGCCTGGGCAGTGGCAGCCACGGGAGGCCTGTGTTCTGTGCGGGCCAGGCAGCCTTAACGGATCACCACTGCCGGGAGCCGCCCCCCAGCCCCACCCCCCAACCCCCAGCCGAGGAGCAGAGGGATCCTGGCCTGGAGCCCCGCCCGCAGGTGGCGCTGGGTCTGTCTTGTCCTCCAAAAGGAGGGACCCACACCCCACTCCCCGCACGCACGGTGCGCGCAGCCTGCTCCCCGCACGGAGCTGGTGCTGCCGCTCGGAACCCCCCCCCGGGGCCCCCCCCCACGGGTGCAGTGCCAGCGCGGAGCGCGCTCAGCTGAGCTTCCCGCTGCTGCAGGACGCGGGGCTGAGCGGCGGGGAGCCCCCCGAGAAGGAGCGGCGGCGCCTCAAGGAGAGCTTCGAGAACTACCGCAGGTGCGGGGCGGGCGGGGCGCGGGGAGAGCGGGGGGGGGGGGGCGCGGGGCGAGCGGGCGCGGGGAGAGCGGGGGGGGGGCGCGGGGCGCGGGGCGGGCGGGCGCGGGGAGAGCGGGGGGGGCGCGGGGCGGGCGGGGCGCGGGGAGAGCGGGGGGGGGGCGCGGGGAGAGCGGGGGGGGGCGCGGGGCGCGGGGCGGGCGGGGCGCGGGGAGAGCGGAGGGGGGCGCGGGGCGCGGGGCGGGCGGGCGCGGGCGGCGGCCCCCCGGACCCCGCACACCGCGCCGGCTCTCCTCTCCGCAGGAAGCGCGCGCTCCGCAAGCTGCAGCACGGCCCGCGGCCGGGGGAGGTGGACTGGGAGAACACGACGGGCAGCGACAACACGGACACCGAGGGCTCCTAGCGGCGGGCACGTCCGCGCACCGGCGCACACAGCCCCGTGGGGTCCCCCGGATGTGAGGCGGGCGGGGAGCACTCCGTGCGGCTCCCGGCCGGCGGCCCCGGACAGAGCGCCGCCTGCGGACCGAGGGGTCCCGGGTTCGAGCCCCGTCCAGGGCACGGGCCAGGCTAATGGCTGATCCCAGTCGGGGGCGTGAGGAGGCGGCCGATCCATGGTGCTCATCACTGACGTTCTCCCTCCCGCTCCCTTCCGCTCCGAAGTCAATAAAAGTATGTTTTTTAAAAAGAGAAAAGAAATGCGGCTCCTGAAAAGCAAAGCCACTGCCAAGCGAAGGCGCAGAGGGTCCTGGCCCGGAGCCGCCCGCGGGTGGCGCTGGGTCTGCCCTGTCCCCCAGGAGGGACCCGCACACACCCCGCCCCCCGCAGCGGGCGCGCAGCCGCGGCCTCGCTCGCGCACCGTCCAAGCCGCCCCGCCGGCCGCCAGGGGGCAGCAGCGGCCGCGCGGGTCCCGGAGGGTCGCTTCCGCCCGCCCGCTCCCAAGATGGCGGCGGCGCGGCTTCAGCTCGGCCAGGCGGGAGCGGGGCGGGGCGGGTAGAGCGGCGGGAGGGATGCTGCGAGCGGCGCTGTGCCGCGTGTCGTCGCTGGTGAGCCGCGCGCGGCCCGGGGGGCCCGGCTTGAGGCGACTGTGGGGGTGCGGGGCCCGCCCCGAGGCCGCGGGGAAGAGGCGGCCCTGGCGCTGCGGCTGGCGGCGCTGGAGCTCCGAGCCTGGGCCCAGCGCGGCGCACTACCAGCTCGTCTACACCTGCAAGGTGGGCGCGCGGCCGGGCGGGGCGCCTGGCGCTGGACCGCGCTGCGGGCAGGGGTGGCGCGGGGCGACCGCGTGGAGGGGTGGAGCTGTGCGTTGGGGGCGTGTCCTAGGAGGGGCGGTGCCTTCTGGGAGATGAGTGGAGCTGTGCGTTGGGGGCGTGTCCTAGGAGGGGCGGGGCCTTCTGGGAGATGAGTGGAGCTGTGCGTTGGGGGCGTGTCCTAGGAGGGGCGGGGCCTTCTGAGAGAGGAGTGGAGCTATGCATTGGGGGCGTGTCCTAGGAGGGGCGGGGCCACGCGGGAATGCTGTCCCCAGGGGCGGGGCCTTCTGGGAGAGGTGGAGCTATGCATTGGGGGCGTGTCCTTCTGGGAGGGCAGGGGCCGCAGGAGGGGTGGAGCTACTCCCAAGGGCGGGCCCATGGCCTGACGTGCCCTGTCTCCATGTCTCCCCCAGGTATGTGGGACCCGGTCCTCCAAGCGAATCTCCAAGCTGGCGTATCACCAGGGAGTGGTCATTGTGACCTGCCCTGGCTGCCAGAACCACCACATCATCGCGGACAACCTGGGCTGGTTCTCCGACTTGGATGGGAAGAGGTGAGGAGGCCGCCTGGGCCGGGTTGGGGGACACAGTCCCAGGTCAGAGCCCCACCCCGCCTCCCTCATGAGGTGTACCGAGCCCTCTTCTCCCACCTTATCAAACTGGAGGAGCAGCTAAATTTGAATTTCAGAGAAACCACCAATAACTTTATATAAATGAGCCCCAGGACCGACTGCAGGCAGGACCCATCTGTCGGGGCCACAGGCCTCCCCGAGAGTGAAGGGTCAGGCAAGGCTGACTCTCAAAGCATCGGCTCTTGCATTTTGTGGTTCCTTCCTTCACCCTACAAAGATGTCTGAGTGCCTGCTGTGGGGCGGGAGCTTGCCCTCTATCCATGCTGCCGGGTCGACGCACCAGACGGGGTGCGTGTGAGGCGGTGTGGACGAGGCCCTGGGCCTGCAGAGTTGGCTACCCCCTGTGGAGAGCAGGGGGGCAGCGGTTAGCAGCCTTGAGGCCGGATGGCCCTCCACAGTTCAGACGGGCTTCTGAGCGCGCGTTCTCCCGGGGAATGGGCCAGTAACAGGTACCCCTGTGGGGCGTGGAGAAGGCCCCCCGAGGGCAGCGCGCAGTGGCCCGATGTGCCTTGGCCCCGATGCCACCCAGTGTTCCTGGCTCAAGCTTGACCTTGGGTGCCCTCGAGGGCCGAGTTGCAGGACAAGTGAGGGGCCCGGAGCGTCATGGTGCCTCCCTCTCTCTCAGGAATATTGAAGAAATCCTGGCAGCCAGAGGGGAGAAGGTGTGCCGAGTGGCCGGTGATGGGGCTCTGGAGCTGGTGCTAGAGGCTGCGGGGGCCCCCAAATCTACCACTGCAACAGAAGGGGGTGAGGACAAGGATCCCACCCACCCTGGCAAGACAGAGCCCAGCTGACCCTGCCTCCCGCCCTTGAGAGGGCTGCTTCGGCCGGCCGCTGTGCACACGCCAGCTTCTGGCAATAAACAGACATCACTGGCAGGCGACGGGCCCTGGGCTCTGCTGTTGTCCCTGTTCCGAGTCAGTAACTCCCAGGACCCCCTCCAGGTGCAGCCGGGGGACCCCTGGCCCACCGCCGGCGCCCGGCTCGGAGGGGCTGGCCATGTCCACGTGGGGGGGCTGGACGTGGAGTCTCAGGCCTCCTGCGTGGCTGTGTGGCCTTGGGGCGGTCCCTTTGCCCCGCTGAGTCGCTGCCTTCCCGTCCGCAGATGAAGAGAGGCCACCCTGTCGGGCACGGACGGGAAGAGCAGACTGGCACAGGGACAGGGTGGCCCAGTCGTGACCCAGCTGTTTCTGGGAAGAGGCCCGAGGGACGGCCAGTTAGCTAGCGTCCTTCCTGGGGCAGGATCGGCACACCTCTTGGGTCCCATCTCTCGAGCCAGACTCAGGGAGGCCCCCCAGATCCCTCCCTGCCACCTGCCACCCCCTGGACACACACCAGGCTGCTCACCGCAGCTGCCGGTGGCCTTGGCGACAAGGGCAGCGGGAGCTGGGCCGCCCTCTGAGGGGTGGGGGCGGGCGTGCCCCACGTGGCCCCCACCCTGGGGTGTGCGGTTTGTCTGGCTGCCGTGTTTGACGGCCTCCCCAGGATGTTCCTGTGTTTATGAAAGTGTGTTTATTTCCCGAGTGTTCTGGGCTGTGTGACCTTCAGCATGAATCACCGGCCCGTCGGATCCCCGCCCCGTGCCGGCCCCCGGAGCCTTGGCTTTGTTCTCCGGGGCCCTGGCAGCTTGTGCTTTGCCTCGATTACCCCCTGTCCTCTCCTTGGCAAACAACCCTCCATTATTCCCGCCAGCGCCTCCTGCGCCATCTGCAGGGACTGTCATCCTCAGCGCCCCCGCCTGCCCCCCCGCAAAGCACCGAGGCCACGCGGGGACTGGCTGCCCTGGGGCGCAGGAGCGGGGCCGGGCCTTGGCCTGGCTACCTCACTGCCCCTCGAGTTGGAACTGAATTTGGGGAGGCCTGGGAAGCTGGCTGGACCTAGTAGGGCCACCCAGGATCCTTCCTTCATGGCTGGGGAAACTGAGGCCTGTGGTTTGGATGTGTGTGTTGACCGTGTCATTTTTACATTCTGATGCTTTGACCTGTAAGCCCTGCTGGCCCTGGAGGGACTGTTCCCCCCCCCCCCCCCAAGAGAGATGACAGATGCCTGTGAGCGCACCAGGCAGGGACCAGACGCTCAGGGCAGCCCCCGCTGGGAGCCACCAGTTGTTTACACCGGCCAGGCCCTGTGCACGTCCCCTCCCCTGCCTCTGGCCCACCTGCAACCTTCCCGTGTGGCCTGGGACCCCTCCTCTGGTTCCTGCCACAGGATCAAATGCCTCTTTCAGTGGCACCGTCGCCTGGTCTACTGGCCTCGCCACACAGAGCGACAGTAACCCCCCCTTTCAAACAGTGGCCATCGCCAGGCCTCTGCCCTTTCCAGCCGGGCTTCTCTGCTCCCCCCCCCCATTATCTTTCCTCCCTCAGCCCCAGTCCAGGGCCCTCTCCAAAAGGTCAAATTAGGGGTCATGTGTCTGGGGACATTCAGGAGGGTCAGACAGCATCACACGACTTCCTGCAGGACTGTCAGAGCCATTAGCTGCCGAGAAGGGACACAGCACCCGGTGTTATTTGCAGAGCGTTCGGGCCCCAGGGTTCCTGGGGAGTGAGGACTGTTTGGGGGGGCCCTGCTCCGTCTCAGGAGTGATGCCACCCCGTGTGCTCCTGCCTGCTGAGCCAACCTCGCCCCTCTGCGGGGTCCCGGCCCCTGTGGGCAGTGTGGGGTGTGGATGGAGCAGTGGGTCTTGGGGAGTGAGGAGAGTGGGGCCTCCCCTGCCCCACCCGGTGCTCAGACCCTCCTGGGGACAGTGCCTTATGACGGCTGCTATTTTGGGGTGTCCATATCTGTGGGGCATCGCCCCAGGCTGCTCTCTCAGCTGCGTCCATCAGGGTCTGGGGGGGCGGTGATGTCACAGGCCCACTGCACCCCCCGTGCTCTAGGTGGCCCCTCCGGTCCTAGGTGGGGACTTGAGACCCGAAAGGCAAGCGCATCCTGGCGTGTGAGTCCAGTTAGGACAGCGACTGGCCCTTGCAGGGGCAAGGCCGAGGGGTGAGGGTGGAGGTGGAGCAGGGCACCCCAGGCAGGCAGGCACTTGGAACCTCTGCCCGCAGGCTAGCTTACCGCCCCCCCCCCCCCCCAAAACCCACATAGACAGCATTCGCTTGGCCGACTTTATTTCTCCGGAAAAACAGAAAAACAAATGTACCCTTGGTCTGGGAAGGGCCCTTGGACAATGGCAGAAACGCGAGGGTAATAAATACGCATGTCCATTCAAGTACCGGCGGCCAGACCCGCCCTCGGTCCCCACACCCCGCATCACACCCCGCCAGGGGGGCCCCAGCACCCTCCCCTCCCCCCAGAGCCCAGGGCTGGGCTGAGAGCAGGACCTGGAGAGGAGGGGCTGTCCCGGGTCTTGGGGCTGAGAATCAACCCCAGGCCGGGGGGGGGGGGGGTAGAGGGGGGCCTGCGAGTGGGCCCAGGAATGGGTGTGGGTGAGGGCTGTCTCCTGCCCATCCCGTGCCAACTTGGGGACAGGGAGGGGCAGGACCCCCTCCACATACGGAGGAGGCAGGGACGACGTAACCCTAGCTGGTGGGGGAGGGCGGAGCTGAGCCTCCCAGCTTTGCTGACCCGCTGCCACCCGTGGGCATGGTGTGGCAGCCTCCAGGCCATTGCCCGTCTTGCACGGCCAGGTGCAGGCCTGGCTGGTCCCGGTCCCCGCACACCCAGGCCCCATCCATGGCTGGGCTCCCGAGCTTGGAGCTGAGGAATGTGGACACTCACCCCCTCCTTCCTCTCGGGCCTGCCTGCTCAGGGCCGTGTGGGGCTGGGGCTCAGGGCCAGGGGCTGTGGGAGCAGGCTCACCTGCCTCCACTGTGGGCTTCCTGTCCCCCCGCTGCAGCCTGGGTGGGAGGGAGGGGCCCTCCTGGGGGTGAGAGACCGGGGCTGGGACCAGCATGTCTGCGTTTGGCCTGCCTGGGACCAGCTCTGGGACGTCCATGTCGCTGGCGGCCCCCTGAGGAGGCGGCACAGAACCTTTGGGGGGTGGGGCGGCAGCAGGGTTTTCACATTTGGCTGCAGGACAGCGGTGGGGCAGGGAGAGGCCCAGGCCTGGACAGCACCTGGGCAGGGGTCGGGGCGAGGGAGGGCTGACCAGGAAGGCCTGCGGGGAGCTGTGTACCACGGGGGGCGGGCCCAGGACAGAGAAGGCCTCCCCCCGGCGGCCTGGCCTGGCCCAGCCTGCCTCCCTGGGGAGGGGCATTCAGTGGGGGCGGTGCCCCGTGTCCGGCTCAGTGGGAAGGGCGGGGGCCCAGCCGGCCTTCAGCCACGGCCTAGGGAGGATGAGCTTCTCAGAGGCTGTGGGCATCCTGGGCGATAGAGCTGCTCCCTGGGCCTCCAGGAGGGTGGGCCTGGCTGTGGGTTCGAGGCCTTAGCTGGTGCCGGGCTGGCACTGTTGCCGAGGCTCGGGGGGCCCGCCCACCTCCTGCTCCGGGCTCCCGGCGAGGTCCACCCGCTGCTCGTCCATGCGCTTGGCCTGCACCCTCTGGATGAGGCTGAAGAAGTCCTCGTCGGGCATGGTGGGGCCGCGGGGCAGCCCGTCGGGCGGCGGGCAGCGCTGGTCGTCGATTCTGGAGGACTGGGCAGAGCGGACACGCGGTCGGGGGCCTGGCCCTCCAGGCCTCGGGGGGCCGGCCCAGCAGAGGCCCCGCGGACAACCCCAAGGCACGGGCTGTCGGCCAGTGACCGGCCAGGCCAGGAGGGCGAGGCCGCCTCGGGGGGGACAGCTGCAGGTGTGGGGTGAGCCATCTGGGAGGTGGAGCTGCCGGGGCCCCCCCCAGAGCACCCTGACAGAGGTGCGGTCAGGAGTCCCTGGGACAGGGCGGGAGGCCGCAGCCCCCGGAGCCCGGGGTGGGGAGCTCTTCAGGAGCCTTGGGTGGGGCTGGTGCTGGGGGCCTCGGGGGCTGAGCAGCACAGGGGCTTCTCTGCAGGGTCTGGAGCAGAAGGGCCAGGAGCCTGCGTGCATGTGGACGGGGGGCTCGGGGGGGCCCCCAGGCTCGCCGAGGGCGGTGCTTTCCTGTCTGTGGAACGAGCGTCAGGTCTGCAAACTGCCCGCTCTGCCCGCAGGCCGTGTGCCCCGCCCCTGCCCGGGAGGCTCTGCTGGCCTGGGCCCCGTGCTGGAAACCCCGGGCAGTGAGACCCGCCGCCTCCCCACTCCGGGTGCCATCTGGCCTGTGGCTTTTCTCTGTCCAGGGTGGAAGGCTGGAGGGGTCCTCAAAGCCACTGCCTTGGGCCCCCCCCCCCCAGCTCTGTCCGAACAGCCAAACTGAGGACTTCTGGGGGTGACCTCAGGGGGGTTTGACCACCGATGGCCGCTTGGTGACACCTGCTGAGCCTCCTGTCATTCTCCCCTCCCCCGCCCCGCCCCAACCCCCCCAAGGCTTCCCCAGACCCGGCCTAAGAGGAGGGCAGAGCCCTGCAGGGGGCCTGGGCCGGGCCGGACACCCCTCACCCCCCACCCCCTACTGCCGGCAGCGCCTACCTGGCACTTGATGAGCATGTTGAAGAACTCGTCCCCCGGCGCCTGGGGGTCCCTGTCGCCACGCAGGTGCCCCAGGTTGTTGTGGGTGACGCGCAGCCCCGGGAGGCGGCCCAGGCTGGCGCGCTGGTCGTCCAGCCGGCGGCTCTGCGAGCTGGCGATGAGGTCAAAGAGCTCTTCCGTCTGCGGGGAGGCTGTGAGCGAGGGCTGGGCTGCGGGGACAGGGCCAGGGAGGGCCGGGAGGTCAGCCCAGCCCACAGCACTGCTGGGGGCACACGGGGTCCCCGCCTGCCTCTGCCGGGGGCCCCCACACCTGCCTCCAGGACGTGACAGGAGGAGAGCCCCCCCCCCCCGGCCCCGCCATGAAGCTTCTGACACGGGCTGGAGGGCGGATGACGCGTCCCAGGAGGCAGCTGGGGGAGGCGGGGGTGGGAGCTCAGTGACGCGGGCACTTGGCAGCGGCTGCACCGCCCTCGCCCTCCTCGCCCTGGGAGCTGGGGGCTCTGCCCCTTCAAGGTCGGGAGCCAGCGGTGCTCACCCATCCTCTCCTCCAGGGCGGGGGCGGCCATGGCCTCGGCAGCCCCGGGCTGGCCCTCCTCCAGCGGGCAGCGCTGGTCGTCCATGCGGCTGCTTTGGAACTTGCTCAGCAGGTCGAAGAAGCACTCCTCGTCGGCGGACGGGACCCGAGGGAGGCTCTGGGGACCGGAGGGGCGGTCAGCGCTGGCCACCAAGGCCCCCTCACAGCCCCCGACACGACCCGGGGGCTGCTAGGCCTGGGCCGGGGGCAGGACTCTCCTCGGCCTCCTCTGGTCCCAGGCCGCCCCTCGCCCCGTCAATCCCTCATCCTCGGCCATGACCTTGCCCCTCCCCGGGTTTGCAGCTGGACCACCTTGGCCCCGGGAGATGCCACCAGTGCAGCCTGACCCCAGGGTGACCCAGCTGGGCCCAGGCAAGTCCCACCGGCGGGTCAGGATGGGGAGAGTGGTCAGGAAGGGGAAGGGGGGGTGAGAGACAAGATACGGGGCCACTGGGCCTGGCGGAGTCCCTCCTGGCAGGTGACCCCAGGCCTCGGTTCACACGTCCACAGGAGGGGCGGCTGGAAGGTGGGGTCTGTCCGGCCTCCCCAGAGGGCAGAGCCAGAGCAGGCCCAACCCCCCAGCCTCCCAGGCCTGGTCCAGGGCCCTGCCCAGCCCCCGTCCATCTCTCAGCTGGTGGCCTCCGGCTCGCTCCGCGCTGGGCGCGCAGAGACCACAGCAGCAGAGACACCGCCGCTCCATGGGGAGACGGAGGCACAGAGCTCGCAGACCCCAGTTCACACGGCAGCAGGAGCGGCCAGCCTGGCCTCCTGCTGTGGGGAGGGGCAGCTCGGGGGTCAGAGACCCCGGCAGGTTCCCCCCGCCCCCCGCAGGCCCAGAGCCAAGGCTGCCACAGTTTAAGGCCCCCCAGATCTCTGCTCTCTTGCGGCCCCCCAACCTCACAGCCGGGAGGGAGGGAAGGGACAGCTGGCATGAGGGGCCCTGGCGGGGGCTGCCCTTGGTGAGGCCTCACGGGGACCTACAGGCCGAGCGCGGCCGAGCACAGCGCGGGGCGGCCGGGTGCCTCTCCCGAGGTCGTGGGCTCTGCTCCCAGGCTGCTGTGGGCTGAGTGGCTGTGGGGAACCCCGGGCTCAGCCAGGAGTGGGGTGAGCACAGCAGCACCCCACACAGGCCAGGTGAAGGGAGCCAGCCCCTCCCAGGACAGGTGTGACCCCAGCGCTCTCCAGCCTCCCCCGGACTGACACTCGGCGCTCAGGGAGGCGCCTGAAGGAGAGGGTTCGCCCGAGGCCTATCGCTGGGGCCGGCGGGGGGGGGGGGGGGGGGGGGGAGCTGGGCTTCGAGGGCCCTGCACTGTGTCCAGAGGCTCCTGAGGCCCAGGCAGAGCCCATCCCGGGCCTGGCAGCCCCACCCCCGGGAGCCGGGGCACCTGGGAAGGGCTGACGCTTCCCGTGTGACGGGGTTGTGGGCCCGAGACCAGAGGCGCACACGGGAGGGTCTGGGCAGTTCAGAGCCCCCGCGCCCTCGCTCAGGCCACCACCTGGAACCCAGCCGAGCGGGGCCTGGGGGCTGTCCCTGCTCCGACCTCTCCTTTGCCCCAAATTCAGGCTCCATCCACCCCGGTCTCAGAGCTCCTCAGGCCTCACTCCAGCCCCTGCTAGAATTCAGGCCTGTCTCTCACTGGGAGCACAGCCCCCACCCCCGGCCGGGGCTGCCCCTCCCCGCCTGCCTAGCCAGCCCCTCAGGGGTGATGCCATGGCCCAGTGCTGCCCAGAACCCAGGGCCGGGGCTGAGAGCAGGCGGGGAGGCCGCGGGGGCAGGGAACACCCTGAACTCACCCGGGCATGGGCCTGGGATGACCACCCAGTCCCCGGGGCTGACTGCACGCCCACCTGCCAGCCCCCCTCCCCCACAGCTCTGCTGGGGTCCACACGGACCAGGAGGCTCCCCCTCCACCGGTCAGGGCCCCACACTCACACCACATCAGGAGCTCGCTGGGTCCACCGGGTGCTGGCCACGTGGGGCCAGGGCAGGACGCCAAGGTGCCCGTGCCACTCACTGCCCTGCCCGCGCACCTCGCCGCTGAGACTCGGGGCCCTGGGAGCTGCGCGCTTAAATAGGACCCGTGAGGGCCCTCCCCGTCCCCGCCCACCAGCGCCGAAGCTCGCTCCCTCGAACACGCTCATGCACACTCACACGCTTTCACACACGCACACACACACACACACACACACACACACACAGGCGCTCCGTAAACACTCGGAAGTGGATTTCCCTGAGCACAGCACTGAGCCTCTGGCTGGGCCAGTGGCGGTCACACCGGAGGGCCTGGGGGATGGGAACCAACTCCCAGCCCAGACCCCGCGTCCTTCCCTCGCTGGGTCGGCCCGGAGACGCCGCCACTTTCTCCAGCCGATTTGGAGTCAGGGCGGCGGCCACCCCCGGGGAGCTGGTCCCAGGGCCTTCCCACCTGGGGGCTCGGTCACCCTCAGCCCAACACCCTCCCACGGCCCCTCCCCACACAGCAGCCCCCTGGCCTCCGCCCAGCCCCAAGGCCAGGCCCCTCCCTGCTTCAACTGTCCCCCGCGTCCCTTTCCTGCCCTGGAGGCCCGCGCAGGAGGCCTGTCCTTGTCACCACGCCAGCCCGGGCTCACCAAGAAGCACCGGGCAGTGGCTGTGAGCTGCAGGAGTGAGGACGGGACGGGGCCACTGGAGCCTCCTCCCGGGCCCTCCCTGCCCTGTTCCCCCCACAGCCCAGGCCCCGCTCTCCGAGGCTGCCTCCTGTCCGGGGAGCTGGGTCAGGTGCCTGGCGGGCAGGGGGCTCACCCTGCCACTGGGGTCCGCGCCTCCAGTGGGGCCAGGCTCAGCACAGCCATGGGAGTCCCCCCACAACACCAGCACCCCGAAGCCCGCTGTTCTCACGGGGCCGAGCCTCAGGTGCTGGGCTGACCAGGCCTTGGAGCCCCAGCGCCACCGGTCCGGCCTGACACCCCTGCCCTCTGCCTCAGTTTCCCCCTCGGGGTTTCTGTAAACGAGCTACACAGGACAGGCCCGGGTGTCGGCTGTTGTCTATCCAGAAGAAGGGGTCCCAGGCGGCAGCTACAGGGGTGCCAGGGAGCAGCATGGGGGGGGCTGGCGGATGTGGGCCGGGGCACGTTGGCCTGGCTGGACGGGGACAGCCTGGACCCAGCGAGCTGGGCCCACCTCTGCCCGAGGCTGAGCCCCTGGGCACTGGAGGTGGCGCACCGCTGGCCCCGGCTGCCTTTTGGTGGAACCAGCTGTCGGGCGGGAGGCTGCTGTGGGTGAGGAGTGCGGGAGCCAGAAAGACAAGTCCCTTTGTTCTCCCTGCTGTGGGGGAGACGCCAGGGAATTGGGGTTTGGGCTCTGCCCCCGCCTCACTCAGCCCCGGGTCACATGACAACAGTGGGTGCGGGCAGTGTTGTCGCCTTAGGGGGGAGCTCGGGGACGGGGGCCACGGGCAAGGTCCGGCGCCACCCACCCTCACAGCCCCGGGCAGTCCTCCCTGCGCCTCAGCCGCGTGGCCCCCCACCCCATGCCTGGGCGTTGGGGTCCTCCCTGTCCGGTCCTTTCTGGCTGGGCCCGCTCAGGACCCCCCCAGGCCCTACCTTGGGCCTGCCCAGCCCTGTCCCCCATGCCCGGTCCCCTCAGACCGCACGGCCCTCCTCTGGGGCGAGGCCCTCACTGCCTGGACCCCAACCACACGGCCGTTCACCCGGCGTCCAGCACCCCCTCCTGTGCAGCGATCCCTCCTCAGCTCATGGACACAGGCCCTGACGACAGCAGCGCTGGGGCCAAAGGGGTCGGCAGAGACCCCACCTGAGCTCCTGGGAAAGGGCGGGCAGCAGCCACCGTGTGGAGAATCCGCGCCGACACCCACAGGCTGGGGCGGGGGTGACAGCGCGGAGGGAACTGTTCAGACTGATTCCGGAGGCTTGGACCAGGTATTGGGGGGGGGGGGGGCGTCTAGGCTGACCTCTGAACCCTGACCTGCTCCCGTGAGCCTGGAGGGGCTTCAGGGCACAGAGGGACACCTGCCAGGCTGCAGGAGGCCAGCGCGTCCATCCACCCCCCACCGTCCATCTACCGTGGGCTGCCCGTCCCCTCGCTGGGCATGGCTGCTCTGTCCGCGGGGCCGGCGGGGTGGGTGCGGCTCACAGCTCAACACTGTCCCTGCGCTGCCGGCAGGTCCCGGGCGGCCAGGGCCGTGACCTCGGCCTCCGTGTGCTGTCCTGATGGGCGGTGAGGCCCCCGGGCCCCTGGCTGAGCCGAGGACAAGCTGCCTACCGTGCGTGGCATCTGCACCCGGACTTCTGCGCTGTCCAGCGGGGAGTGGCCGCCCTCCCGGGGCCTCCTCTCAGCGGCGTCCGGCCCCTCCTGGTACTTCCGGCTCCTCACGGGGAGGGGGAGCAGGTCCCTGCCCGGCCCCCGCCAGTCCCCGGAGTGGTGGCTGTCTCCATTCTGCTCCTGGGGAGGGGCGGGAGGCCAGGCGTGGGTGGGCCACCAGCACCCCAAGGCCCTAATGGGGGGGTGGGGACGTGCTGGGCAGGGCAGAGGGGTCTGTGGGGTGAGGACAGGGGGCTCGGGCCCCGAGGTTACTGCGGGCAGGGCCCTGATGGGGGGAGGGAGGGAGTGGGCGGTGGCACGACAGGCCTGTGGGCCTCTCAGGGACCCGATGGGCAGATGGCACGTCTGTCTCCCGGGCAGGGATGACGTGGACAGAGGTGGCCGCTCAGCAGACAGGCAGCGCCTCATTAGCCCGCGGCCCCCGCTCTGCACTCGCTGACGTCCTCCTGTCCCCGTCGTGTCCCCAGCCGCCCGCGCCACCCCCCCCCGCTCACCCGCTCCAGGGGCAGCCTCAGCAGGTCCCAGGTCTCCGCGCTCAGTCGCTGCGTCCTCTTGGGCCTGGCCCCTGCCAAACAGCGGCCGTCAGCCCGTGGGGCCCGGGGAGCGGAGGCTGGTGGGCCGGCACCCGGGGCCGAGCTCGCCTCTCCCACCTGGGTCGGGTCTGACTGCCGTGTCTCCCGTAAGGGCCAGTGCCCCAGCTCTGGACCCGCTCTCCCCTGCTCACTCGGCGGCCGCCCAGGCCCCACGCGGGCCCCACGACTGCAGGCCCTACAGCAGCGGTTCTCAACCTGTGGGTCGTGACCCCTTTGGCGGTCGAACGACCCTTTCCCAGGGGTCGCCTAAGACCATCCTGCAGATCAGATATTTACACGACGATTCCTAACAGTAGCAACATGACAGTGATGAAGCAGCAACGAAAATAATCGTGTGGTTGGGTCACAACGTGAGGAGCTGTATTTAAAGGGCCAGAAGGCCTACGGGGAGCCCCCAGCCCCGGCCACACCTCCTGCCCGGACAGCCCCGAGGGACGGAGCCACCGAGTGTCCAGGGCTTCATGAGAACTGGGGTCCAGAGAGGGCTGGGGGACGGCTGGGTGGCCGGGCCCTCTCCCGGTCTGGCCTCCGGGATCTGGGGAGCCACACCCCGTCCTGCTCTCTAGAGGCGGGAAGCAAGCCGGCCCGGGCGGGAACACAGTGGCCCCGCAGCCGCAGCCGCTGTCCCAGGAGCCCAGGCGTGGCCACTGCTGCCCTCCCCGCCCCTGAGCGCCCGGAGTGGGCAGCCCGACCCGTCCTGAGGCTGCGGGACACGGGCCCCAGGGCGCGGTCAGGGCCCCCTCCTCCCAGCCCATGAGGAAGAAGCAAGGACTCACTCTCAGACCCCATGGCACTTGGGGGCTCTGCCCACCCCTCTGCCATCTGCATCGATGGGGAGAAGGAGGGGCACCTCGGTGCCAGGGCTGAGGGGCCGCAGGGCCGGACGCAGCCGCGGCACAGGCCCCTGCTCCATCGCCCGCCCGGCCTGGTGGGGCCTCTCTCTCGGCCGCCCGACACCCTGAGGGCCCCCCTCGGGTTCCCCACCTTGTCTGCTGGGCCTGGGCCCCCCTCGGCCGCTCTGGCCCTTCCTGGCCCTCCGCGTCCCTGGCCTAGGCAGCGGCTGCACCGCCCCCGACACGCAGCGTCCAGCTCCGGGCGGGTCCCCGTGGCCAGCGCGGCGGCAGCCTCGGGCCCGGCTAAATGCGGCCTCTGTGTGGAGGGAGCCCCGGTCCTCCCGCCTGCCCGTCCGGCACCCACACCTCGGCTGACTGGGGGCATTCAGGCCGGGCACCGCCGGCTCGCTCCCCGCCCGCCCCTCCCACCTGAGGGCGAGGCCTGGAAACTTCCCCGGCCGGCCGTCCCTCCCTCCCTGGTGAGGATCTGCCCCACCCGCCACCCTGACATCCTGTCCCAACCCGACCCCTTCCCGCCTCACCCAGATGGAGTCCCCTGCCCGCCCGCCTGCCCCACACCCGCCCGCCCCCCCAGCCTTTCGCCCAAATCCCTTCTCTGCGCACAGCTTAGGCCCCGTTAGCCCTGTTCCTCCCTGTCAGCCCTGCCGCCCACCCCCATCGTGCTCATCTGCCCCAGGCACAGCCCCGCTACTCCCTCCCTCGGGCCAGGCTCGCTCGTGGGGGGCCCGTGTCTGGACACGGTTCCTCCATTTCTGCTCCGGGCTCACTCCCCAGCTCCTTCGTCTCTGCTCAGATGTCACCGTTAAGGGCTGCATGTTTGTGTCGTACGTGGACGCCCAGAGCCCAGTGTGACGGCTGGGCCGTGGGCCCTGGCACGTGACGTGGGGTGGCTGAGGTCACGGGGGTGGGCCCCGCGCTGGGGTTGGTGCCCTCAGAAGGGACCAGACAGCTCGCTCTCTCCTGCACCCCACTCTTCCCCTCTGCAAGCTGGGGAGCCCTCACCGGAACGCACCGCGCTGGCACCTGAGCTCGGACCCTAGCCTCCAGACTGAGAGAAAGAATCGTTTCAGCCGCCCGGTCCGCGGTTCCGGGGCACAGCCAGCGCGGGCTGACACGGCCTCGCGAAGCCACCTGCTGTCCACCTGACACCCCAGCTGTCCCCGTGTTCCTCCGAAGCCTGGGGACACGAGGCGACTTCCTGGCACAGGACTGACCGCCATCCTTGCCTGTTCTGGCCGCTGGGGTGCCCCTAGGGCAGTGATGGCAAACCTATGACACGCGTGTTAGAGGTGACACGCGAACTCATTCTTTTGGTTGATTTTTCTTTGTTAAATGGCATTTAAATATATAAGATAAATATCAAAAACATAAATCTTTGTCTTACTATGGTTGCAAAGATCAAAAAAATTCTCTATGTGACACGGCCCCAGAGTGAAGTTAGGGTTTTCAAAACGCTGACACGCCGAGCTCAGAAGGTTCGCCATCACTGGCCTAGGGCTCCCCCAGGGCTTGGCGCACAGTAGGTGCTGCATTAGGACGTGGCGAGGAGCTAGTGTTGGCTGAGCGCCTGCGTGTGGGCCCCTGCG